TTTTCCAGTGATGACCCAACATGAATTTGCTGATGTTGTTCTTGACTGCAAGATACTGACACAAGACGAATCTATTACGGTAGTGAAATATTTGAATTCAATTCGAAACACTCCAGTGGGATTTCCAGAGACCAAACGTACTGGTTTGAAGGAATTGTTTGAGCGTTGTTGCAGATTTGGTTCCGTGATTCATATTGGCTCAGGTTATCCATATGTTCCTGGTCGAAAAGACTGTCTTCTTTTTGAGGTCGACAAAGACATCTCCTTACTTGGAGTTACACTATTCGGAAGCAAAAATAATACGTATTCTGTAACGATACGGGTAAAAGATTTAGGTGAAAGCAAATATCTTTATTCTAAAACAGGAAATTTCTTTCCTGAGTTTATCGAGTATAAATCAGTTTCTTATTGCGGCTTCAACATTTTCTTTGACCAGCCCGTTTTAGTAAGAAGGGATGTTCACTACCGTGTCGAGGCTTCTATTTCAGGCTCCAATTCTTGTTTTGGTGAAAATGGTAGAGATAATGTGCTTTGTGGAGGTGTTAGATTTAATTTTAGATTAAGTGGTCATAGTACCAATGGTACAGACGTCGTGCGAGGACAATTTCCCGAGCTTCTTTTTATTGTAAAATAATATATATTTTTTTCTTCTAGTCAAATACCGGTGGATGACCGCTGACTGCAGATTTCAGACTTTTTAACTAATATGGCATTCTATTTCCATTACCGAAAGCTAACAGTTAAGAGGCTAATCGGAGCGGCTAATTGGTTTTCGGGTCGTTTTTTTCCAAAGCGAGTATTTTCCTGACATCAAAATTAACCGACCACTTGTTTCAATAGCTCCAAATATCCTTTTCTAGGTGTACACACAAGCTAGTGAAAACCGATGAGTAGTCAGAATTTTTGGTAATTTTGAGTGAAAACTTCAAGTGGACTGTATGTTCTGTGTACTTTCCTGTCTACTTCCAGAAACATGACATCAAGGTACAGTAGCTAACTGTACTTACAGTGGATGATCTATTCAAAATCATTACACCTTTTTATCGAAACATGTAACTGCGAACGCAGTTCTAATCGGGTAATGGAGGAAAATCGAGTTTTCCGTATGTATCTTTCTGTGGACACCAATTCCCCCCCGCCCCCCTTCAAAAAAACAAAATTCTTGAGGGGCATGTTCATGTGCTTTCTTTCGAGTGTTGTGCAATATTGCGGACTTTCGAGTGTTGAGACATCTTA